TACGTAACAGGATTAGTAATAATGGTACTTAAATTACTATTTGCTGGTACTACTATATAGTATATTATTTTATAATACATACGATGGTATTAGTAATTAGTACAGCTATTTATGTTAAAGTGAGAGTACAAGATTAAGGTCAGCGTCATAGGAATACAATAATAATCTTAAGAAAAGTAGAGGTTTACTCTTCTTCTTCATCTAAGTCTGGTCCTGTCTTATTTTTTTTTTTTTTTTGTTCTGGTATAGACCGTATATTATTTAAAAATAATTTTCTTTGGTATATGTCAGGTTCTGTCGGACTGAAATTAAAACAATTCTATTTTTTGTCACTTAATATTTCGCCAACTGATTATTGGCTTTATCAGAAATGCACTACAAATTTATTAAAACAAAGACATAAGCAAGATTAAGATAAAATTACATAAATATTACTCACAGAGGTTCACAAAAAAAACAAGACAAACATTTTTGTTTTACGCTTTTATAATTACTGACAAATTGGACCGGTCGTTACTCGACACTGAGGAGTAGGCAGAGTAAGACCACAGAATAGTAAACAATCAGAATGCCCACTCTCAGATGCTGCCTTTGAAGTTAACTAAACCGGGTTAATTTTTCTATGCACACCACATGAACAACACTGGTTCCCTTTAAAACATGGCGGAACGTCTGTGCGAACGAGATGTGCGTACTTAATTTTCCATGGAGAGTGGACATTCTGATTGTTTATTATTCATCAGAATCAAAAAAAGGTGTGAAAAATTCGAATTGGTCCTCTCAATTCAACAAACCGATAACAGCTTTTGCTAAACGATTTAATCTTTTGCATATATATTCCTTTCAGGTCTGATTATTTATGTTTTGAAATTAAGATTTTTGACTACTGAACATCTTTATTTATTATATAAGGTACTATAAATAAATGTTTTAAAAAAACGCCCTCGTCTCTCTTAGCGTGGGTGTATCCTGCACGATCGTGATGTTCAGACTTACACTGCTTTAGTGCACGATAGTGACTGCGCCAGGTTTTTAATGTAAAATGGTACAAAACAAATATTTTTATAGAAAACATATTTTTAATTAATATTTATAGTAGTAGGAACTTTTAAGTAATCACTTTAGATATTAAAGGTAAATCAAATTATAACAAAAAAATAATTATTTTCCTTAAAAATAATAAAAACACACAAAATTATTTTTAAACATATCTACTTTGTAGATATATAGCCTGCAAAACAGTTTTGTTTTCTAGACAAACAATGGTAAACTTCACATTTGGTGCATAGGATCTTAGATATACTTTTGTAACCTTCCATTCTGCACGATCTTGGACTGTCTATTTCATCAAATGACATAATATACTCAGCATACCTTTTGGCCACAGAGGGTGGGTTCGGTCGACGGAACATAGACGTATTCGGGTGCAGGTCCTTCAGTTCTTCTTTTACGTTCTGGGCATTGACTAGACCATCTGCCACCTGCATTCGAAATTCTAATAAGTCCATTATTTTATTTTTGGGCGCTCCCGTTGCAATTGATTCTAATACGTACAACCGCCAAGCATTCGAAATTGAAAGGTCAAAAAAATGAGTCCATTTTTTCGTTTTGATGAAGGTCCGGTAGTATTATATGAACTGATCAAGATTATCTACACCTTCCATATTCTTATTGTAGTTCGCGATTTCTTTTGGAAATTTAACGTATTTAAATGCAGATTGACTTTTATCCCATCGCTTGATTTGACAATAATCATCTCCAGAAGTGCAATTGGATGCTACTAGTACGGATTTTTTGTTCATCCATTTTACAACAACATCATTGCTAATGAACTGTTGAGATTCACCACGTTTCATTTTGCTATCTTACTTAAAATCAATATTTTTTCTATCAGGAATTCCATTCATCATAATTGTGACAGTCCCATGAAGTTCCATTTCTATTAAGTTTTCCAGTAAAGGTATAGATGAGAAAAACCGGTCGAAATATACACAACTACCACGTGGAATAGACTTGATAGATGAAGAATGACAGCAGCTCCCACACCTAGAGATCTGTCTCCACAGTTTGTTTTAGCGCCTTGGTAAATTTCGAAGTCAATCATCAAACCATCGTAAGTAGTGGCGACCAAAACATTTGACACTTGTGCACGTGGCTTTGTTTTAATAACTTGTCTTAAACTAGGTGGACATCTTCCACAAGATATTATCTGGGATTTTCCCATTATTTTTTTTTATTTTTAAAATATTATCATATATTCGTCTATCGAATAAAAACCTTGTTGGCGTTCTAATCTGTTGCAAGCATTCTTTACTTGATCAAGTACAGATTGCATTTTACAGAGTGAATTCTGATTTCCTGTAGGAACTTCATCACTTTTCACAACGTGAAAAGCCATACGAAGAAATTTAAAACGAATATAAAAGTTACAATATAATATACCTGGACTAAAACTATGCAAAATAGGACAACAGTCAGTAAATGCACCTGTAGTTTTTCATTTTATATTTTATAAGTACCCGTTTTGAAGGCAAACAGTTCAATAAACTAGCCCAGATCATTTTTAGAAAACAAAATTGTATAAAAGCCATCACCAATTTGCTGGCCAGCTTGTTAAGAACTTAAAATATGTGTCTATTGACCGTCACGTTTATGTTTTTGTTTGGGTTGTGTTAGGTCCCCTAAGGTCGATCTTAATTCTTCTATTGTGTCTTTTTTGTGTCAATCTCCGGTATATTGATGCTGACGACAATGACGCGGACTAGATCTCACCAAGGGACATAAAATTATAATTTATAGACATTGGGTGGAACATAATGTACCACGCACAGTAAGATACCAACCTAGCTAATTGAATGAGATACACAATTAGTTTATTACTGCCTTTATGCGGATGATATGGACGGCGAAGATAACGTGCACTGATTACTTTTAATTTTTAACTATAGAAAACGTCTAATATCCGAAAAAAAAAGACAGGGGACGGTCTTTCAGATAATTTAAATTTATATTAATTTAATTTAAAAAAGTAAGCAAAGCTTTAAAACATACTTTTAATAATATACAGTGAAATATCTTGAAATGTGCGAATACATTTCCTCTCAGACTCTTCTTTGGAGATTTCAAATATTATTCTGTGCAATTTGACAGCTGTCAGGATTGTATTAGCCAAATGTGCACTTGTTATAAAATTAAAATCGTATTTCACAGAACTTTTCATCAGTTGCCATATTCGCACAATTTTTATTAAGGACGTATAATATATCTTATACGTCATACGTCACTGGTTTATAAATTTATAAAGAAATTGTTTGTAAAGACATTGTTCCTTTACTCAATTAGAAATATATAGTATAAACTCTTTTTAATTTACTATAAAGTTTTTCAAAAAATGTAAATATTTTTTAAACACACATGGCAGTTCCATTAGATAGGTTCTGTTGGATATGCCACAATTTATCCATCTGCATTTTAACTTATTTCATACTCACCAAAAATAAACAAGGAAAAGTCATAACAAAAATTAGAATTATATATGTACAATAATACCTCGACTTACGCTACCCCGACTTACGCGAATCCAGAGTTACACGATTTTCAAATCTTGTCGATTCGTCATCTGAGTGCCACACCATCGTTCGATTATCTATTAGATAGAATTACCGCCCACACATTATGGCTCATCTTGTAACGTTTTATATTTAATGTCTATGGATTCTGTTTTAAATTTTTGTAATACGTCCCTATTTGTTTATCTCTGCTATGAAAAAATTTTTTCGGAAGAAAAAAAATCTTTAAATCGTCAAACTACTTTGTTAGATTTTATGAAGCCTTCTACATCAAAATAAATTGAATAGCCAATTTTATATTTGTATATAGTAAGATTTTGATAAAAAAATTTTGTATTAATTGCCATTTTTTTTATCTTCCGGTCCCAATTACAATAATATACGATATTATCTGCTTTTCAAATTTTTTTGTATCATCTATTATATGGTAATCAAAATTTTTTATCTTATCAAACAACTTTTTAATAATACAAAAAAAAATTTCATTGCTCCTGTATTTTAAAGAGGGCGCCAAAATTTTTTTGTAAAAAATTACTGCTCCATGACAGACAGTTAATCTTTTGAACGGCAAATCTAAAATATAAAATCATGATAAAATCCGAGAAGGATATATTATGATAGTATTCGTGGTGTTTTCGTATTTCGACTAACACGTCGAGTTCCACTTGGCGTTCTCAAACAAGCCAAGAGTCCACGTTACTACGTTTCAAAGCCCTCATGTTAATTTCTCTTCCACACTGCAAGATTTTAATAATCTCTGCCTAAAATACATAGGTATATTCTCCTAGTGGAATAGAAATGTTTAAATTTCCACTACAACAAGCTTTCTTTTGATTATATAGAATCTATTTATACTGCAAGTGTCTTCTCTAACGAAATAAAAGTTATGCTATTTATAAAATGTAATAAAAATATTAATAAATCCATATAAAAGCGATATAATCCACTCATTTCATTTATATAAACACTCAAAACACAAGTGAAGTTAATATTTAGCTATCCCTAATTTTCAAATTTAATTAAAGACAGTGTAACATGCACTGCACCCACGATAATAAACAATAATGGGTGGCCCCACTACATATTATTGTTTTTAGCAAAATGTCAGGTGTTTAAGAAAAAATAATTAAAAAATATTAATTTTACTACTTTTTATTGTGTTTTAGTATTATTTTCTTATTATTTAGTTTATTAATTATTGTTTGCAAAAAGTAATAAAAGATTTAACGAATTTTAATCACTTTAAGAGGTAGGGAACACAACATACAATGATTTAAGTTTAAACTTTGAGAGGTAGGCAGCATAACATACACTGATTTAAGTTGAAATAATTTGTTCTAACAGAAATTGCCTAAACAGCAAAATATTTCAAAAAATTACATAGAACAATTATTTTTCAGTTCTGTCTTTGTCAGATTCTCAGAATTCGTATTTTTTGGTTATGTTTACGCTTGCCCAAAAACATTAAACAACTTTATATTCAATAATGAATTAGTGCAAAAAATTTATTTTATCTCTTTATATTTGAATTTTATTATTATTTTAGGTTATAAACCATGATTGTTCTTAAACCGGAATGGGTAAACCATGATCGTAAGTTGTATTGAATTTTGCTAAAAATTTTGATCTAAAAGTTTTAATTTTTTAGAAGACCAACCGATTTTTTCAATTGATATACAACCAAATGGAGCAAGATTTGCCACTGGAGGACAAGGTGGATCAGGCGGTAAAATTGTAATATGGAATATAGGACCTGTATTAAGCGAGGATGAAGAAATTAATCCAAAAATACCAAAGATGCTTTGCCAAATGGATAATCATTTGGGTAAGCATTTAGTTAAAATTATATAGCAAAAGAACATAAATTATTGCTAACGATTTTTTTTTATGTTTTTAGCCTGTGTTAATATAGTTCGTTGGAGTAATACTGGTCACCTCCTAGCTTCTGGCTCTGATGATAAATTGGTAATGATTTGGAGATTGACAAATGAAGGAAGTTCAACAATCTTCGGTAGTGGCCAAATTAATGTAGAAACATGGAAATGTATACATACTCTTAATTCACATAATGGGGATGTTCTTGATCTTGCGTGGGCTCCACATGATGGTTGGCTAGCATCAGCTAGTGTTGATAATTCTGTTATTATTTGGAATGCACAGAAATTTCCTGAAAAAGTTGCCGTTTTAAAAAATCACACTGGATTGGTTAAGGTACATCTTGTTAAATTTTTTGTACATAGTACCTATTATAAAGACTTGTTTATTTTACCGTTTCTGATTCATTTTATTTTGCATCCATTCTTTCGTATTATTATTCTTTCATATTTAATCCTTTCACTACGGCTGGTTACAAAAATTTAAAATGTTGCCTAAGACAGCTATCCGATCATGGGAAAACTTGTTCAGTATACTGTAATTTTAACCCTGTTTAAAGAATATTTTGCTCATAATGCTCTTGATGAGTTATGTCGCTGATGAAAATTTGAAAAAAAATGGATGGGGTAGTCAAAGGTGTTTTTTATTGATAAAAAGCAATAATAATTAATTAAAATGTTTCTTTCTTTCAGAATGTAATATTAAGTACACATGTATCAACTTTCCTACCTTTTCTTGTTTTCATTGTAAACAACCCTTGTATTTGGAAAATGCCTTGCAATAACCTATTTCCTGAAGAATGTATAACAGCAACTTCAGCATCTTGGTACTTCTCCAAAATATTTCGAGAAAGCTCCAGTTGAAAATCAGCTAAGGATATTTTCTTATCAGTTCCCAACTTGTACATGGCATATGTATTCAGTAGTACGCATAGATAAAGCAAATAAAAAAATACTTTCCAGTACATTTGTTTTTCGGGGTGATTCGAAACTGCTTATTAACATGTCAGAGCCCTTTATTGCCTCCATATTTTTATTATAATCATTAAGGCAACTGGGTTTTATTATTGTATTTCTGATCTTCCTATCTTTTTTCCAGTACTGTGCGAAACTAAAATCATTTTTTGTTGTTAGTGTGTATATATCTTTTTTGTCACACCACTTAATATATATTTTGATGACTGAAAAATTATTTCACCTCTTCCCAGCTTTTCTGTGTATTTTGGCATGTTTCCTGGTCTTCTCAGCATGTAAAAGCAAATAAAGCACTGGACTTGTATACAAGTTATCAGTGTAATGTGTGTCCTTTTTGCAAGTAATCTTTACAGAGTGTCAGGACTATATTTCCGGAAATACCAATATTACCATTGTTCAAATTTGAAAACGTTGTTTTAGTAATATTTGGTTGACCAATATTTGGCTAAAACAAATTTTTTGTCCTAATCAGCAGAAGACATACTGCCAAAAAACAGTAAATGTCTTTGTCACGAAATTTATGTAATCTATATAACTTCTTTAGGCCTCTGGTATTTAGCTGGTGGGCAACATGGTTGATTTCCTCTACTATTTTTGCTACAAGATATGTATTAAAATATTTTTGGAAAAAAAAATAACTTGTAGTTCATTTTTAACATGGAATTGACTACACTGGACTGCTTATTTGTAAAAGGATGTATATCTGGTAAAAAAAACTGATAATGTTTCCACATAGTGGTATATCATCCTCTTCATTACTTAAGTCACTCTCGTCTGAATCATAAAAATCACAATTATTGACAGGTTTAGCCAACTTGCTGGTGCTTGCAGCTGAAGCAAAACACTCCTTATAATTCGAAGGTTTCTCACAATTGGGTTGCAAATCTTTACATTCCACACATCTGAATCACTTTTATACTGCAAATATAAATCCTCCTCATTGCTTTTTAACAATAGATTTTCCAACTCTCTCTCAGAAAGACCTGTAAGCCTTTCGACATTAAAAACCAAGCAAAAATAAAAAAATATTTTTTTAACTTATGGTTTGACATTTTCTCCAACAAAAACAATCACTAATTTGTAGTAATTCATCATAAACAATTATAATAAACATGTGAAACAAAAACATGTGTTTTCCACTAAGTCAAGTGTCATACTGCTAGTGAACAGTATATTTGATCATGTAATTGATAGCTCCATTAGAATTTGGCCAATACTGTTTTGAGACTTTACCCTATTTAGTCTATTACACCATTACTAGTAAAGGCGCCCCTCACAGTATTAGCAAAAAGTGAAGTTCATGAGCAATAGTGAGACAAAAATATTTTCGCAATTATATCTGTCCATAGCAGTGAAAGGGTTAATAAAGTATTCTCAACTTAATTTTTTTTCATTCTATTATTTTCAATGTAGGGTGTGACATGGGATCCAGTAGATAAATACATAGCAAGTCAATCTGATGATAAAACCCTGAGAATTTGGAGAACTTCAGATTGGACACAACAAGAAGTGATTAAAGAACCATTTACAGAATGTTCAGCCACAACTAGTGTGTTAAGACTTTCTTGGTCTCCTGATGGTCAGTATTTAGTGTCAGCCCATGCCATGAATGGTGGAGGACCTACTGCACAAATTATAGAAAGAGAGGGGTGGAAATTTGATAAAGATTTTGTTGGACACAGGAAAGCTATCACTTGTGTGGTAAGAATTAAATGTCATTAGTTGAATTTTTTTCGTTAAATGTGTTGTGTGTGTAAATATCATAACTTTAAGATATTACCTTTATCCTGCAGCTTTATACAAAACATTTTAATGAGTATCTTTCAGAGGTTCAACTCCAATATTCTCCAAAAACAAGAAAAGAGCAACTCGAAACCCACTCAGTATTGTTGTTGTGCCATTGGATCAAGGGACAGGTCCATAAGTGTTTGGTTAACTTCATTAAAAAGACCACGAGTGGTCATAAGAGACTTATTTACAAATAGCGTATTAGATATGTCGTGGAGTAGCAATGGACTCTATTTGATGGCATGCTCTTGGGATGGATCTGTAGCATGTATTGTTTTTGGACATGCCGAAATTGGAACACCATTGACTATGGATGAAAAGGTAAGAACAAATTACCAGTACTAATTGTTGAAGTAAAATTAAATTTTTATTATCAAAAGATTTTTGATTCTACACTCCGCGTCATAGAAAACGGGCCACCAAAATATTTAAAATATTTTCGAAATTATTATTTATTGCTACAAAATTAAGTATTTATTTTTTCGTATATTTAATCAATAACTCGTTTAGTATAAAATTTCATCATTATCGTAAAACATCAATCGAAAATAAAAAATTTCAGAAAAATAGGAAATTTATTGAAAAAATCAACTTACAGTTTTTAAAACAACAATGAACTGTATATTAAAAATAAAGCTGGTATCCATTTTTAGTAATGGCTATTGCCACCTCGATTCTGGATAACACTCCTCATTCGATTTGGCATGGAATTTATAACGTTTTGGATATCTCTTTGGGGAAAAGTGGCCCATTCCTCAATGAGTGCAATCTGGAGCTCTCCAGGTGTTGTTGAAGTAGGTATGCGACGCATAACGCGACTTTTAAGCAGGCTCCATATATGCTCAATAGGATGTAAATCGGGGCTTTGAGCAGACCAGTCTATTTTTTGAATACCAACCTCGTCAAGGTACTCCGTTCCTATCCTTGCCGTGTGTGGTCTCGCATTATCCTGCATTAGCAGGAATTCGTTGCCAATAAATCCAGCATAGGGCATCACATGATGTTGTAAGATTTCCGTTATGTACCTTACTGCTGTTAGCGCACCTCTGTCGATCACGACGAGATCCGTATGCGCATCAAAAGAAATCCCTGCCCAAAACATTACTGAACCACCACCAAAAATAACCCGTGGTGCCCGAGTGCAACCAGCGAAACGTTCTCCAGCTCGTCTGTACACCTTACTACGTCCGTATTTACCATAAATAGACATTCTACACTCATCCGTAAACAATACTTTTTTTCAAGCTTCTGCTGTCCAATTGATGTGCTCACGGGCAAAATCTAGTCTTCGACTTTTGTGAGCTGGGGAAAGTAAGGGTCCCGTTGCTGGACTGCAAGCTGTCAAACCTTGCTCCCTTAATCTTCGCCGAATAGTAGAAAGGCTGATTGCTGGTCCTTGAGCTTGCTGTAAATGGCCTTGAAGCATTCTAGCGGTTTGGGTCCGATTTCATAATGCAGCAAGAAGGACGACGCGATCTTCCCTAGCGGTTGTTTTCCTTTTTGGACCCGTACCAGGTCGTCGTTGGTGAGATCTTGTGACAATAAATCGTTGCTGGGTCCTTTGTACAGTTGAACGATTAACATTCAATTGTCTTGCAACTTGTCTTTGACTTAATCCACTTCCCAGTAACGTTACAATTTCAACCGATTTTTGAAAATTTTCCATCATTATTAACTGAAGACTACTTCACACTAAGTCAGCTACTGTAATACTGAGATGCGTTTAAAACTCATTAGAACCCTTTACAATATCAAACATTTCTCAAAACAATCGCTTCATCGAAAATTGATCCAGTTGTAAACAACTTTTTCTCAAAATTGTTTTGATTTATAGGTTCTACGGATATCCTCAATTCAGTTACAGGGTCGTTTTGTTTCCGCAACAACCCATTTAACTTAAATAACCCAAGACACATTAAAAATAAAATAATGTTAATTCAATATACAACAAAATAAATGCATAATTTTGTAGCAATAAATAATAATTTCGAAAATATTTTAAATATTTGGGGTGGCCCGTTTTCTATGACGCGGAGTGTATTAAGCATTATAAAAATAAATCCAGTCTGGTGATCATTTTTCTTAAAATGTTGTGGACAGTGCATATCAAACACATGTTTAATATATCTATGGAGACAGTTTCCTTTCAAATTTCTGGATAAAGAACTTTTAAATGCAAATTTTCGAAGCAATGTCCATAGACAAAGTAAGTAATTACTTTGAAGTTTGTAATAGTAGTAGTTTTTGAAACTACTAGATTGTTAAGTAAGCAAAAAATTGTAGTAGTCTTTTAAAAACATTAAAAAATCAGAGTAATTTGGATTTTTAAATCAGTAAATCAAGCAAATTTATAAAAGTTTGAAACATTTAGGCTAACTTGATCTATGAAAATTAGTAGCTGTGTCTCTGATAAAATTAAAGTTTTATCTGTGGTAATATATTAATTATACTAGAAAAATGGAAAATAGTATTTTTAAAATTAGATAAAAAATAATTGAGGCAAATCTATTAAAATTAAAAAATGTACAAAAAATAAAAATAAATTGGTCATTTATTGGCACTTATTGGTCCTTTAAAATTTTAAACTTTAGTAATTTTAGATTTGTCTGCTTACTGTTCTAGCTCATTTCATTTTCAATAAATTGCTGTCTAAAGTGTTTGATTTTTTCATTTTCTTTGCAAATGGTTGAATTTGTAGAGTGTAATACACTGTATTCCTTTAGTCTTTGTTTAGAATTCTACTCCCTAGCTTATATAATACTTGATTTTTCTTTGATATTAATCTGTTTTCTTTTCCTTTGCATTGCATTGCAGATTCTATTATTGCCAATTATGTTCTGAATTGGTATTGTTCTTGGTGCAGTACCGAAGTTTTCTACTTTGACTAAAATAACCACACCTCACATTGACAGTTTCAGTTCTGAAAGGTTGACAATTGCTCTTGCCATCCTTTCCATTGAAGTAATTAGTTTTGGACTTTCTCCTGGGCCACTGGTTCCAGAGCTGATTCGGATCAACTACCAGATCCCAGTGAGCACTAGAAAGCATTTGATAATGTTTGCAGCAGTTGTGGATAAAATGTCAGGGAGAAATAATTCCAAACTATGCCCTATTCAACTCGAAAAAAGGATACATATAGCAAAAAAATACCAGCCAGTATGTGCACCACCAGGATTATTTTCAGAGAGGTGCATCTGCATCTATACACACTAATAATCAATATAAAATATAGAAGTTTACATGTATAGCTATTTCCTTTCTTTTCAGATAGTGTGTGCAATTTCAATTGCACCCCAATGCCAGCGCCCATGCAGCTCAGGAAATCCTACAACCAAAATGTTTAAATACTTGCAGCAAATATTCTTGATAAATATTTTTAATGATTTGGAGAATTGTTTAACCTTGTTTCATTGCTATTTAAATTAATAATTATAATATGTATATGCGGTACTATTTAATTTGGTGAATACAGTAATTTTTATTTGACTTTGTGTTTCAGAATGAATTATATGAAAAAATGTACCACAAATCATTTCAAAAAAGTTGGAACCGTAATTTTGGTTCGTCCCAAATCATCGAAAACGCTGAACTGTTGGAAGCGCTAAAGGAAAAAATTAAACAGGATCAATCAAACATGTCGATAGAAGTTCAAGATCCGCCACAACCCGTTACACCGCAAAAAGAGATTCCGTTTGATTCGCCAAAGTTAAACCAGAGCATACTGGTTCCACAGAATAAGCAGTTGGAAACTAGGTTACCTTCAGGCAAGCGAAGGATTACTCCTATGCTCTTGACAGCTGTGCAGGATACTAGTACCAATTCAAGTGAAAAGTAAGTTTTATTACCAATTAGTAATTTAATGTGTTCTAATTCACAATAAAAAGAAGTATGTGAAGAAGATGTGAGAAGTATTCTTAGAAATAATGTTTTATCTACATATTTTATATTTTAGAGTGGATACAGGAACTGTTACACAAATGTCCTTCAGCAAATCATCTCCAACGAAGAGTCAGATCATTGTGGAGACTGTAAAACTGCAGGATATGCAAAAGATACAGCCGCAAAATCAACAACAGCCACGGCAACAACAAAACCTCATGTCTGCATTGTAAGTATACAAAATATATGTTTATAAAAAGATGTCAGTCATTTATGGACCAACATGTACAAAATTACAGCTAGATTGTTGAGGTATCAGAAATGTAGTTTTTTTTTATTGTTTTGTTTATTCAGACCATCGCCTATCAAAAATAATATTGGATTTGCAGCCACCTGAACGAAAAAACTACGAAAGATCGAAAATAACATAGCTTAATGGAGTCAGAAAGACAATGAGAGATCTACGACCAGGAGACTGGGTCAATAGACGTGAATGGAGACTGGGAACCGAAAGGCGCAGGGCGCTATAAACCGGACATTATATATGAATGGTGTTATGCAAAAAAGAGTTAACCCACACAAGTCTGATTTTAAGATAAATGGCTTCAAACTTTGAAGTTCAAAGTCAATAATCTGTTGCAAATCACTTGTTTTATTATAGTTTTCATGTGATATACCATTATATCAGTAAAATTTGGAATTACTTTTTCAATACAATTAAAAAAATACCAATTATTTCTGTGTAAAAAAAAAAATGTTGAATAAATCCTTTTTGATCTTTAGGTTATACAAGGAAGTAACAGGTTTTATTAATACAAAATATCAGACAAAATATTTGATAATAGATAATTATTAAAAATTTTTAAATTTTTTAAAAGTGTTTCAAATAATTTTAATCCTCTTCATCAAGTCCTCATTTTCTACTCCAAAACCATCATCACAATCCTCTAACATCATCAATAAAGTCACTCTGTTCAGCTGTTTTTAAGAAATAATAATATGGTTTTAGATCTTGTGGAACTAGCTTTAATATTTCTTTGAGATATTTAATTTTTTCTTTGGATAGTGGCTTGGCTGTTGGTCATAACTGCTGATCATTCTCTTTCTCTGTTTCTATTCTTCTCGCCGAATAATACTGTGCATACATATGCATATGTAGTTTTCTAAAATAATAACTTCCTATAGTGAAGCCATTCGGAGCTGTGTAAGATGCTAATAAATATTGTTTGAATGGCGTTTTTGAAAAAAAGTTATTTACTTTTATTGTCAATGCAATACATTAAAACAAAAAATAGTTGTTTAGTTTTATTGTCAATGATATATGTTAAAACAAAAAATCTATACTTACATTTTTTTCCAACTGCATAATGTATAAAGCGTGTTTTCAAGGATAACATAAACTATTGCTTCTGCAATTGGAAGAAGTCTGTCATTTTTGACTGCTTTAAATTGTCCAGTATCATTCTATCTATCATATTTTCTAAAGACGTGAAACAGTTGTATTTATTGTAAAGAAGTTTATTGCGGGAGGCAGTTAGGTTGATTGAGGGACCATTTAAAAAGGTATTTTTTATAGCCACGGCCATTTTCTCTCGTTATAACCAAATTTGCTTCACTATAGAGGGTTAAAGTTCAATAGAAATTTGACAGGACATCTAATTTACTGCGTTATAAGCGAAACCTCGTAATAGTTATAGAAGAAATATACTATATTATAAAACTATTGACCAAATAATAGAAGATAACGACGATTCTCTTATCTGCCGTTTCATTGTTATGGCGCAGTTTGGGTTGATACAGGATTGGGCTTAAATCAATTTTGCATCATTTAAATAACAATTAAATCTACCATGTGATTAGGATCTCAAGCTTTAATTAAAGGACACTCAATTTTTAATGTTTTGTGGTTTGACTGCTTTTTGCATAACACTATCCATATATGAAATTTGTTTAAGCTCAGTTTTCAATTAAACAATTAATCAAATTACTGTAATTTAACATTATCTTAATTTTTAAGATTTAATAGATATGTTATACTTAAACAATGTTAAACCTCTTGCAATATGCTGATATAGTTTATTACTACACAGATATTCGTTTTAAGGCTTATTTAACCCATTAAAATTACAATTTTCAGCCAAGGAAATAGAACTGTCAGTGAAATGGTAGCGCAACCACCTAGCATTCAAATAAATCAATTGATGTGCTGTGAAGTACCTGGTGATGTACCCATAGTTAAATTCATTAACATTTTGGATCCACTAAAATTAACTAATGGTGTTGCTGCTACCAAAGACTGCGGAGTCATCAAGTTACAGGTAAAGTTTAAATATTCTGCTGAGTGGTTAAATAAATCTTTTTTTACATTTTAAAAGTGAACATCGTTACATTTGTGGTTAATATAAAGAGTTTTCAAGTATTTTTAATATATAATAAATAATAAATAAATAATATAATAAATAAAGCTGTTTGAATAATTAATCATTTAACATAGTTATTTTGTACCTAAGTTTAAAAATTATTAGACAACACCAAATTTTAGGCCGGTTACCAGGTAAGTTATGAAATGCATTCATTTAAGTACAGTTATGGAAAATTTACTGCTTTGTTCGAAAATTTTAACTAGATAACATTAAAATAGAAATTTTACAGTTCACGTACATAACCATAAGTTGAAGATTTGTTTTGACATAGTGACGATAACTGTACCCAAAAAGTATATAAATTTTAACATTGTAAACAGAGCAACAAAGTATTTAAAACAATTAAAACAAAGTTTTTATAACAAATACATTTTATAACAAATACATTAAACCATTACAATGAATAAATATCCTGTATCAAATAAAATCGCTTGTCTGTGGTGAATCACAAGAGGATTATGTTACCATAATAAGGAACCAAACTGTTTATGAGTAGGTAATGATTCATTGCTGACTGCTACCTATCTTATCTAACGATGTAAAGAAATGCACAACTTTCAATTATAAAAAAATGCACAACAACATGCAATCGACAACGAAATAATGAATTTATATAATATGTACCAATAAATGCAAATCAAAAAGTAATAATAATCAACAAATCTATATTAACTTAATGGTAAAATAGTGGTATTAATACCAAGTAAAATGTTCTTTTAACAGTTCAGTTAAAAAGTTCAAACGCAATAGAAAATGGATTCTAGCACGAGCAGTATTAACTCGCATCAAATGTATATAACAAGTAAACAGTACTTGTCATGGAACAGGAACATGTAAAACAATAACTAACCTTGAATCTCCACTGGGTTGGAGAGGGCGTAACGAGGCCTCACCCCTTAGGCACCGATTAGGTAGGACACAATACACAACTATGTCATTCGGACGATCAAGCGCAGGCGCAAGTCTGACTTGAGCAGTGATGCCACGTATGAAGTCAAAAAGAAATCGTGAGATTTCGCTACGGTTGAATTCTGAAGTGAATGGGGATTTTTAAATCATAAAATAAAAATTTCGTAAGTGCGTATTCACCTTTATATAATAAGTGTAGTGGTTCCCCCCAAAACAGATTGTTACTAGAGAAGGACCTATTTTAGGGGAACCACCAGTATTAGATATAATTTTAAGAAATTGCCTACCTATATACTTTTATAACATGCAAGCTATGGATTTATCCTTTATCCATTCAATATTGAGCAATGATTATAAACATCCTTTATGGTTTAAACTTTAATGAAAATTAAGGGAAAACATCTCTTGAAAGACATAATATTAGATATTTTACCCAAGAACATTAAGTATGATATACATAAAGCTATTTTTGTTTTCTGAGGATTTAACATTTTATCGGCACTTAGTCATTAGTATATATCTTTTTTTATATGAAATAGTCGATTTGTTTCATATCTCAAGCACACACTTAAATTAATATGTTTTACTAGGTCTATTGGTCCTTTAACTAAGACAAAATTCGGTCTATTGATATTTATTAAAGATGATAAAATGTACATAAAATTCAGTTGTTTATGAACCGATGTTTTTACACTTTTAAAACAATAAAGAACGTTGCTTTGTTTATATTATTTTGTGTATATTAATTGAGTTAATCGGAATAGCCCACTGAGATTTATGAATATTTCAAGGTGACAATCTAAGAACATTTAAAAAATGCGAATGTTCATCCATACATTTTATTAGATACCTAGTATATTCATCTTTAGATTTAACAACATCCTAAAAATTTAAAAAATCGTAAGATAGACGTCAATTCGTGAGATCTCATGATAAATCGTGAAGAGTGACATCATTGGCCGCTTGGAGTTGAGTAGCTACCTTTGGAAGCAGCTGTATTTCGGAAATACGGGTCGGGGGTGACTCAGTGCCGAAACCACAGGTGAATATCGCAATCAATGCAGCTTAATACTTATAAGTGGTGCATTCTTCTAATTTAATTCATACTATCCGCCGTTAGATGGGGATGTCGGTACGATGTAATCGATGTTATCATTGCTATTTAATTATTGCTGATGTTGCATAACTGCAACAAGGATAAGCAGTAAAAATAGAGCGAAATTAGATATTAAACACATGATACTATAAACGACAAATGTTAGTCATAGTATCATCATTAAACATATCTATTAGTATTTAAGTATCGTTTGAGAAGAATTCTTGTCCAACAAGCTTACAACATATTTTAGATTACGTTATTTCTGTAAATGGTTCCGATTAAAAGAGTTTAAATTAAAAAGTGTAAACACCCGGCATGAATAATATTTCATTAGAACACAAATGTACAATATTTATGGAAGTAACCTCAACAAAGGATTTTTCGTTAATTCCGATTCTCTTGCAGATTACAAATAATTGCCATAAAACCCCAAAAGGTTCTCTATCAAAAATAGAAGCGTTCAAAAATGTGACAGACAAAGAACTTAAATGGGATACGTACTTAGGTAAGTAAATAATAACAGAATAGCTAAGTAAAAAATAATCTATAGTTAAGTCTCAGGCCCATTTTCCGCCAAAAAATATTTATTAATAACGTGCTGTACAATAACTTAACTAAGATACTTTTGAAGTTTTTGTATTTTTTTTTATTTAGATGTTATGAGCTGTTATCAAATCAGGTTACTGGTACAATCCACTAGTCAAATAACCGCATACTGGCATATCTAATAGGAGCCCATTCCTTTATAAATATTCTAGTATAGTCAAAACTACCCCTCTATGTCGGGAAAAAGTTTTTAACAGCTTAAAATGAACTTTTGGTGCATTTTCAATGTATTAAATATTTTCTATCTAACATTCATTAGACAACTTATCACTCTTTAAGTTGCTATCCTTAAAAACCACCCTTTATAACAAGATAAAGAAAAATCTATTAATAAAGGTTCTTGAAAAGTTTTCAAATGTTTTGTAATTATATTGTAACTTTTCAATCCTCCGAAAAAACTCCTGTATAAGACCTATACCACTCATAAACATTGTATGTATGGAAAAACAGCATTTTATAGTAAACTGCTGTGAATGAAACAATTTTTATCTGGGAGAAACTTCAAGACTTGAAAGACTTTGACAGTTCCCAGATATACCAACATATCTATGATAATGGGTACAAAATGCAATGGAGATATGCATCAATTGTCATGAAAAAAGGAGCAGCAAGAAGAGGAAAAATAGAGGAGCGCCCTCATCTTATTAAATGAAAAAAAAGTGTAGCAAACACATCAATATTCAGTAAGGTCTCGTTTTATGCGGTGGATACGTTTCACAGAAAAGGGCATATAAAAAAAATGCATAAAAAAAGACATTACTTGCCTTGAAAAAGTAAGGATACGTCCTTTCTAAAGTAGACTTCTAAAATTACGTTAAACCAAGACAAAAACAAAAAAGTTTCCAGAAATTAAAAGAAATAGGTGATATGATATCATGAATGTATGATAAATTACTTTGAATATGTAAAAGAAATTCATACAAAAACTTAAAAAAATTGGTCCATATTTCTATTCGTTTATTATATTTATATTTATTTATATCGTGTCGATAAACAGGAAAACAGGGGAACCTGTTTATTTTACTAATATGGTATTTGAAAGTAAACTGAATATTTATTAACTTCGTCTGCAGTTGAATGTTTTCCTAAGTTGTCTCGTTCTAAAACGTATTTAAAATAGCTTAATTCTTCAATACTCTTCCAGTTTAAATCATAATGTTCTTCTATCAATTTTCTAACATCAACTGTTTTACTTGTATAGTAAATCTTTGCCTTTTAAAGGACGTGGTCTTAAGAGATTTATTTATTAACAGCGGTTTCAACGTCCTATCTCCTGATGTATTGCTACAAATAATGTAATAATGTTACTGGATCTTTACTTGCTTTATGTCCACTTTTTTGCAGTTTTTTCAGCCTTTATACAGTCCCGTTTCATTAGCGTTAAATACTTGATCGGCACAATAGTCCTCATCTTTTATAATTTTCGCTAGCTCTTGTGGAAATGTTTTTGCTGCTGCTTTACCTGCTGTAGTCTCTCCTGTGATCTTGATATTATGAAATGCATTTCTTTTTATAAATTTTTTACCAGCTTGGAAAGTTTAAGTTGGCGGCTCTGACTATTTCATTGACTCATAAAACTTTTTCCTGGATTAAATAACCACTTACAAGAATTCTTCTTTAAATTAGTTCCTCAATCCAAATTGCGATGGCTTTTTATGTTCTTTCTAATAATACATACCTTGAGTAAGATGAAAATTCTGCGCTTAATTTTGGACTAGAAATTATAGATTTTCTTATAGCAACTTCATTCTTCTTAATTGCTCTTACAGTTGATTCACTTAAATTAAAATGTTTTCCAATTGCCGTAGATCCTTTTCTTTTTTCTTAGCGATCTAAAATTGTAATTTTCGTTTCCAACGAAGTAGTAAAAGATCAGCACGGCTACGAGCACAAAACAGGTATAAATCTCCATAAGAAATTCCAAGGTCCATTCTGCTCATTTTTGGCTCATTTTGTGATGGAGACGCGAAGGCCCATCGGATCGTAACGTAAGAGGGCTCATTGTAAAGGGTAGGGGACGGGGCACAAGTTGAGATAACAAAACATGGCGACGTATTGCCAAAAGGATACTAAGCTTGTAACGTCCAAACGGCTCAACATACAACAACGTGCAAGATATCGATGGAGCGGGGAGATGCCAACGAATACGTAGACGCAGAAAAAAAACATGGCTGCGTAAAATTGCAAAAGGACACTAAGCACGTTGTTTTACGTTGAGCCGTTTGGACGTTACAAGCTTAGTGTTCTTTTGGTAATACGCCGCCATATTTTTTCTGTCTCAACGTGTTTTTCGTCCCCTCCCTTTCCACCGAGCCCTCTTATGTCACGATTCGATGGGTCGTCGCGCTTCCACCACAAAATGAGCCAAAAATGAGAAGAATGAACCTTAGAATTTCTTATGGAGATTTACATGGGAAAATGACCTGTTTTGTGCTCGTAGCCGTGCTGTCCTTTTACTAACGAAATTGATTGTTTTTGATGTTTTTTCTCCATTGGGCCAAATAAAATCTTAATAAAAGAAATAAAAAAATGCGCTTACGATATTAAGATTGCAAAAACCTCTTCTAATGAAAAATAAAACTTTACGACACTCACTTGAAATTTTTCAATTCGAAACCCGTTCTGCTTATTATACTGCAACTTGGAATCAGCAAATTTTTAAACAACTTATTATAAAACGAACCACCGTTAAGGGAAAAATTATTTTAAAACAATAACAGGTTATACCTTTCATTGCGAAACTCGCAATGATGTAACAGGGACATCAGGTAACAGAGGAATCCCCGAATTGCAATGGCTCACTTTACTGACATCTGGATGTGAATAGTTAATATTTAATTATAATAGTTAATAATAGAAATTTTTGGATGAAATACACACCGCACAACTTTAAAATCGCATAAAAAGAAACCTTACTGTATTCAGAATTGGCAGTCATAACAAATTCTGGTTACCAATACTGAAAGAAGAAGTCAGCATTAAAAATAAACCAACATTATCGAGTTAATAGCAGGTCAGATAATCATATCTATCAAAGTGGTCACAAACTGGAAGGGTTGGTGGTCCAAGGAAGGCCTCAGAGTCAGCGTCAACGCGGTAGATGGGCAGACATCACGAAAAGCTTCTCAACAAGCAGTATACTGTGGCAGTACATGCAACAGATGACTATCATCATCATTCATCAAACTATCCGAGCTGATGAAGCTCAATGATGAGCAGGACAGATACATACCATCTATAATTTATTAGATAAGCACAAACAGATCAAAATTTGATATCAATCCGAGGGTACAATACCTCTCAGAATTTCACTGAAGGCACGGCTAATGCCTACAAAATCAAGACCAAGGAAGTCAACTGTCAAATTGAGATTACCAATCTATTAATTGTAAACATTACCATATAATTAAATAACGTTTACTGTTTTGTTTTTACAGGTTCTTCAATAAGGTGTTTGGCTGCCAATAGAGAAATGGTAGTTGCCTGTTGTGAAGATCTAACATTAAATTGCTACAACATCAAATCAGGAGCCAGATCTCTTCCTCCCATACTGATAGAAGATCTAGTGTCATCGATATGTCTTTCCCAAGAAGGACACTGTCTTGTGCTTACTAAAACTGGTCTTATACACATGTGGGATTTCAAAACGCACAAAAACATATTTTCTAGGATATCTGTTAGGAGTTTATTGACTGGAAAAGGTATGATCGATGTGTTTGATCTATATTGATTTTTTATTTATTATAACAAAAATATTTATTATTTATGCAAGAACTAAAAATTTTCCTAGGTTGATTAGTAGCTTGAAAATATATATATTCGTATTTTAACAGTAGTTCATATGAATACCGGATAAGTTAAGGGACACACGTGAAAAAAAAATTTTTCAGGAAACGCCGTTTAACGTTGATCCTTCACTGTAATTGCCATGGTTTTTAAAGGCTAGTTTTTCTTCTCCAGTTACTGTAACTGCAACTATTATTAGTGTCCAAATAACTGTAATTATTATTAATATTATTTGTAACAAAAAATATTTTTATCTCTAGCTATTTTTAATTTTTTAAGGATCACTTGTACCTTTTTACTTCAAAGTAGTAGAAGATATATTACAAGATATATTCAAGAAATACGAATGTATTCTTCACAATAACATAATACATCATTAATGGCATTGTCTTATGATTCTTCAACATCAGTGTCGTAATGATAATCCAAATCTTCTATTTGGAGTTTTCGTTGTTCAGCCTCTTCTAAGTTTGTTCGTTCTCTATCTTTTTGGCCATTATGTCGCAGATTTATGAAAACTCATGGTAAGTTGGAGGTATATAGTTTATGCGAGGCGTTTTGTCAATCGGTACTGGCAAGATGGCAAGTATTTTTGGTAAAGTTGTTCTGGTATTGAAAGACAGATCCGGAAGAATTATAGGTAATCAAATAGATTACGTTTTGGTAAATAAAAGATTCCGAAACAGCTTTACATCTGTCAAGACTTATCCTGGAGAAGACTTAGAGGCAGACCAAGTTCCACTGGTGGGAATATTTCGAGTCAAACTCAAAACAGTGCAGAAAAGGAAAGCACAATCATATGACCTACGTATGCTGAAAGACCTTAATACGAGGATGAGAGTCCAAGCCACGTTAAACGAGCAAGTGACTGCAATTAGAGACGAATTGAACGAAGAACAAACGATCAAACATATTACAGAAATAGTGCAAAATGTAAAGGATAAACACTTAAGACAAATAGATTAATGAAGAAAAATCATAGATGACAGATGAGATTCTGAAAGTAATGGACGAGAGAAAAGAAGCCAAAAATGACCGAGACAAATATAAATATATTAATCTTCTTTTTCTTAACGTGCGTTCTCTATTACTGAAGGTTGGCTATAACTACAGCAAATTATTCTCTGTATTGAGTTGTTCTTAGTATAGAATGTGTGTCCATGCCTGTCCAGTCTCTTACATTCTTCAACCAGGAGCATTTTCTTCTTCCTGGACCTCTTCTTCCTTCCACTTTCCCTTCCATTATAAGTCATAGGAAGTTGTATTTTTCTCCTCTGTAAATACGTCCTAGATAACTCGTTTATCTGTTTTTTATAATATTTAGGAGTTCTCTCTCACTACCCATTCTTCTTAGCACCTCGTTGTTGGTCACGTGCTCTGTCCAAGAGATCTATATATTAATGGATCTATATAATCATAAGAACGATGGATTATTATTATTTTGGATTGTTGATTATATTTTTCATTTATGTCACTTTAAAAGAAAATACAGGGGAAGTTAGAGACAAAATTAAAAGTTATTCATACGATTAGACCAGCAATGACGTTAATTTCGAAGAGCAGAGTTAAAAGAGATAGGGAACCCATAGCACAGAGGTGGTCCAGAAGAATCAGATCCTTACCTCCGATTCCTATCAGTATGTTGAATCCTGGCAGAAAAATGACCAAGATCAAGGAAGAAAAAGAAATTGCTGTAAAAAAATTAAAACTTCAATTGTGCCGATCAAAAAAGAAAATGATTCTCAGAAAAATAGTACTTCATACGATCACAAAGAAAAAATAGTCAGTATAGTTCCGGTCATCGTTTATGTAAAACACAACAAAACCAAACTTATCATTCCTTCATCATCACTCCTTTCGAATTTTTTTTTTTTTTTTTTTCGTTTTTGATATAATAGTAAATATCCAATTACAGAATTTGATTTCTAGTGAAGATGTGTCATTAACACTTGATGAAGAAAAATAAAATTGATGCTGTTCATTTTGGCTCGTTTCAAGATCGTTCCTTCTTGATGACACACTTATACAACGCTTACTTGTCGCCAAACCAACTCTTATTATAATTTTAAGAAAGTTGAATGGAATATGACTGTACTTTCTGTTAAAATTGATATTTTTACTTATATAATACAAATATATAATTTTTCAATGCTTGTCTTGTTCAGCTGATAATATCCATTTTTAGGTAACGTGAATGGTTGCAGTTTAGGGCCTTCCAACCAACCAGTAATAACACTAACAGATGGAAGAGCATATGCATACAGTATGGATTTACAAACTTGGTAAGATAATCATTTCGTTCTCTGCAAAGATTATTATGCTCTATAAGACTGACAATTTTGATCTTTTTCTTAAGTCATATCGACGGTAATTAAACAAGAGACTACTCGTTAAATGGGGAAAGGTAATTCTTCTATTGTTCCAATGATTTAACACATTTCTCTCATATCACCAGTATTAAAGAAATATTTAAAAATAATTACAGTGGTAATTGTCGAAGGTGTAGAATTTTAAAGAAATTGTCGCAATTTTTAGCGACAATATTCTGCTTTCACCTGATTCTACTTCACCTTTAATTTTTCTCTGAATTATTAGTAATAAATGTTATCATTTATTTGGTTAAATACAAATAAATGGTAACATTTGTTACTGGTAAAAGTTTTTTAGTACGGTAGACTCAAAAGTAGTTGTTATTCAGTATAACATCAGCAGATCTATGCAATGGAAGTCAATTCAGGCAATACTGACTTTCTTCAATATTAGACCTCGTCGGTGTTGCTGCTTACTTATTATAGGAGGCGTTGATTTGTCACTTCTCTAGCCTAACTAAGTGCAGATAAATATTTTCACCAAAAGACAGATATGGCTTTTCGCTTTAATACAAACGTGTTTACAATTGGGATAGGCTTGCAACCTGTCAGCAAAATGTTCTGAATTATTTGCTAATCAAAAATAGAACGCTTTTAAATACACGGTGTCCAAGGTCTGTTTACAATAACATGAATTAACATAACATGTTTAAATTATTCTTCTAATATCACGTTCTGAATTATCGTTCTAAATTCGGTATTGATCTAATTTCAATCCAAAACACACGTAATTAAATTTTAAACTCTATTACGAATTATTAAATAAGGGTTTGTTTCCCTTATGTTACAAATAAATACCCTATGCCCCCAACTGAGCAATTTACATACTGTATATCAATGCTCAGAAGAGACTATATTTAATTATTATAGTTCTACTCAATGTGTTAGGGTTATCTACCATGTAAGCAGTTATTTTTTTATTCTTCTCATGGTAATCTACTAGTTTTAATTTTCAGTCGGAGCTAACACTTGATTTAATTTTATTACTTTGATCTATGTAGAACCTGTTAATACAGGCATTATAGTTGAATAATAATTTTAGGGTACAAATTTCCAATCCATTGGATCCAGTATGCGTAACAGGTGGTAATCTTGTACGAAAAGTGCCAGTAACACTACCTCTAGCGTCGATGCAGAGAACAATTGCTTCAAAGAGAAGCATCGAGACCTTACCTCCAGGAGTTACTCTCAGTTTCCTGGAAACCCAAATTACTGCCGCAAGTTTATTAGACTCTAGTACTGAATACAAACATTGGTTGTTTGCTAAGATTAATTATTTACTAGAAAAAGGTAAGAAAAGTCATTACTTAAACAGCAGAAAGTTATGCGGAGAAATAATAAAGTAATGGTCAACTGTGACATAAAAATTAACATTTATGCTTCTAGTAATTACTGTTGTTATGGGAATAAGCCACAATAAAGTTTAAAATAAGTTTATTGACGTTTCAATTTCCACTTCGGAAATCGTTCTCAAAATACAAACGTATTTAGTTTGTAGCAAAGAGCCAACGCTGAATTCTTGTCTTGAATTTTACCGTAGGTACCGTTCATAACACGAATTCTAGAAAGTTTTCTAGCAGACTAGATGTAGAGGTATTTCTTGTTTAATTATTCTCTTTACTTAATCAAAAGGTCTATTTTTAGGTCCTGAATGCCAACTTCGAGAAATACTTGATGATTTGATGGGACATACACATAATAAAAAGTCAAAGAGGGCAAAACTGGAGAATGGTGAGATCATGGTAAGAATAAATCTCAATTTATCTTAAAATTAAAGATAGTTTGGTTCCGTATGTGAAATTTTTATTCTTTTTATAAACATAAAGTGTTTTCCGGGTTTATAGGCCGTGTTCTTCTTTACGTTTCACACATAAAGTCATTATCACAGATATTCGAGAACCATCAGGAAGAGAAAACAAGTTGCTCCTCTTTTCTTATAAAGTCTGTCGCAGATACAAATGAAACGTCAAGAAGAGGTAATTCCAGGCTCCCCGACCTATATACCTGAATACTAATGTATCATTACAACACACTGATTTTGAAAGCCTACGCCCCTTATATTGTTTTTTTTTTCGATCATTTCTCTGTAATGCTTATTGTTTAGTTTTAATTTTCCGTTTACATTCGTCACCTTGTAGCTTAAGTTCTTCATATGTATATACAACAACAGTAGACCTCCGACCAACGAAGGAACCACAGCAGAACTAGGTAAACTAGTACACATACTCTATGCTGGCCAATATTTCATGTTACAAGAAATATTGGCATATTTTCCCAAAAAATTAATCTAAATTGTTTATCTTGGATAGTGCGACACCGAATGGTGATATTTCACCATTCAAAATAATTTCTACACATCTATCTTGATTGACATAGTTATGAAAAATTGTTTTCTGTTACTCTATTTGTTGTAGGTCCAGTAAAAGATATAGCTGGTAGCAAATTTTGATATACAGGGGACACCCTGTATAGTCATATCGCATTGAGCGCTAGATGTAACAGTATACAGGAGAGAGTGTTTCCTTGGATCTGTACCCTGCACTCCACTTTTTAAAGAATTTTTTTGTGAACATTACCAACTGATTTGGTATTCCTAGTCCTGGAGGGTTTCCCATTGCCCTAAACATATCTTCTCTGTTTCCGAAGGCTGTCTCATAGTTGATAAATATGTGATGAGTATGTACGCCATACTCCTGTTTCTTCTTCTAAAATTTATCTGAGGTTAAAAATCTGATGAATTGTTGATTTATCACCTATAACAATCCTGGTATTTATCAATTATTTTTTCTGCATATAGTGGCATGGAATATTGTAGAATATTTTATAAGCTGTATTTGGAAGCATAATTTCTTTGTAGTTACAGCATTGGAAGAATTCACCTTTGTTGTGTATTGTGCAAAATATTCCAATCACTTGGTAGTGTTTATACACTAACCTATATGAAATTGATTTTAGGAAGATAGGGGTATTCTCAAATACTAAACCTTTCTTATTTTTTTTTTCAGCATATGTCGAAATTCGAGTTGTTAGAAGAAATTTTGGCTCTCGTTAAAACCAAACTCCCTTGGCAAAGATTATACAAAGAATACAGTGAGCAGGTTGCAGAATTTAAAAATGATAAATTAGAATGTACTTGAACTATTTTTTATTATGTGTAAATAAATAGTATTTTTAATAAATGTTTTTGCAGTTATAAGTAAATTCTTTTGTACATACATTACTTCTTACATACTGGATATTTACTGCAGTTTTAGCAGTAAATATCCAACCATCAAGATAATATATCTCGCCATCAAGATAACAAGAAATTAAGATATATAATAACACATTTAAGATCCTTTGTTTATTGTTGTAACATTTGGAGGGGAATTGTTTGTAAGGAATGTAATAAAACTCATTAACATGGCCATCCATTCGATTTAACACTCTATTGATATCGATTCCAACATGGAGGTTGAGACCTTGGTAGTCTTGAAGAAGACATCAGAGAGGATGTCAAAAATGTGGTGCATTGATAATCACCATGGCACAACCTGGAAGTCTGTTGAGTTAAATACATAGAATAAAAATTCTTTAAAATGGAGGGAATACATTGAACGAATTAATGAAGACAGATTAGTCAAACACATAGTTAATTAAGGACGAAGAGACCTGGTTAGGCCATAAGAAGATGGCTAGAAAAAGAACAGAACAGGCTGCGAACCTACTCCTTGAAGAGGATATATATTTTTGTTATAATTTCTACATGCTCAAAGGGAATTAGTTCCTTGTTTCAAGTTACCAAAAAGGTGCTTTGTTAGGTCTGTGATTTTTCACTATTCTTTATATAAAGATCTCAATTTTTATTTTCTTTTACAAAAAAATCGGAATTTGTTAGGATACCTGATGATTGTTATAAAAATAATTAAACCTATGATTTTGTTAAATAATAAAGCTAATAAACCACTAGGTTATAATAACAATATTGAGATAATGGGTATATACTGTACATTTAATTAACCAAAACATATGTATAACTATATTACAATAATTACTTCAACACAATTTACAAAAAAAGTAACAAAAATTGTCATCTATTTACTACTTTTAATTTAGCTTTCTCTTCTTCTATATACTTATTCATATCTGACAAAGGTCTGTAATAAATATGGACTGCTTGGGAACCTGCCATCATAGACAACAAAGCTGCTACAGTAAACAATCCATACCTTCCCCAACTAACACCAGCAGGCATGATTAAATAGTCCTATGCTGATTTTAATATTTTAAACACTGTGAGTCTGTTCTGATTGAATCTCCTGTTCAATTATATTTCTGGCTTGTCTTCTTTTAAATGTTCTATCTAGAAACAAAAAATAAAAAATAATTTCTGTTATACATAGATTTAAGTAAATAATCATAACAATCAAATTAATACTATTATGAAAACAATAAGATGTATTTAAGACTGTTGTAGGAACTCTGTCAATATTTGTAATTAAATTTGTAAACGCCAGTATACCATCATGATTCCAAGATTGTTTTCTCTCATTAGGCATGTGGAGATATATGAACTTAAATCCAAAGACCAACAAGATGTCTCTACATATTTTCCCACCCAAGTGGCAGCATACAAAGGTACCATCTACTGCGACAGCCATAAATGAAAATAATGTATTAGTTATCGTTTTCTAACCTAACCAGTATCAAAAACTTACAAAAGTACAATGTATCACAAACATTAAAAATATATAATTATGTTCAAAATAATTAAAACTTGTTGACACCTTAGCTGCTTCATGTATTTCCATCTGGTGAGTAACATACAAACAAAATGCGTAGGTAAAAACTGACATTATAGGTACATTATTGTCTGAAAGAGATCTATCTAATAGAGGGATAATTTAGTACCAGTTGTATTTGAGTGGTAACTCATACAAGTTATTTATTTTTCATTGTGAGATTCCCAGATGAATTCATCTGGTGAGTAATTTCATTTATAATTACCAGTTTACTTTAGTTATCTCAGTCGAATCATAATAGTGTTTAAAATATTTATAAAAGAATTGAGTAAAATGAATAGTAGAACTGTTAAATTAGTAAAATCATTATATCACATTAAAATACGGCAATAAATACATACAGTTTTACATATATACAAAATTTAGAGAATCATTAAACTGTTTTCATCATATTTAAATACAAGACTGTCTTAAATACATTAAAGCTTTTCTGAAAGATATATTTTGTCTATTTCAAAGAACGGAAAACACTTGTAGGAAAATAGGTAGAGATGTGTTGTTACTCTTTGGATTTTTGTTCGTATACATCTATGCATGCCTGATAATAGGAAGCAACCTTGAAATTGCGAATAATGCTGGTATTTATTAAAATAAATAAAAATACTAACAAATCATGCTGCTATGGTATATACTGTCTTCAACACACCTATGCTACAAAATGTTTGGTAATTATTAATACTTGACTCACAGCTTTTATCAATGTTAAAAATGTATTTTGACTTCAAACTGAATTGGCTTACAGAAATAAAAATGGAAAGTATACAAGGCATGGTGGTTTTCTTTTCATATTAATATTAGCCAATAAATTAAAAGTGTAAATATCGTATGAAGAATATTTAAATGAATAGGAAACTTTTACTTACAAAAATTCACTTCACCAACATGCCAATTGATCATAGAGAATTCTAGAGCTGCTCCCAATACAAAAAATATTGGTAGAAATCTATACATGCCAAAATAATTTTTTCCCGGCCATTTCTCTAGAAATTGTCGAAATTTGGAAGAATACAACTTCATTTATTAATAATACGAAATATTTATGTAATCAAATAGAACTTTAAACTCTCTTAATAATATAACCTAAAAATAATGACATGACAGAACAAAAAAGAAGATCAGCGAGTTTGCCAGTGGAATAAAAATTATGCATTTCTAAGTAATTCTGAAGAAAATATTCTTTTTCGTTGGTTGATTAGTTTTATCAATCATAAAAAACTGAAGTGAGTTGGTTAAAGTTTTGGTGAATTTTTTACTTTATTTTTAGTTTAGTCAAATAAAAGATATATAAAAATATATTTTAAGTAAGTAAACATGCTATAATTTTAATAAAAAACCTATATAGACAAATCAAAACCACTTCTGAAGTAAGCAGTGATGTAGAAGTGGCTTTGACCATTTTTATGTGTTATGTTATTTGTACTAAACAATAATATATTAAAAACAAGAATATTAAAGTATACTAAAACTGTATTCTTAAAAATATTTTGTTCATTATGGCAACGCTGCGAATTATCAGGGGTTTACAACAAATTTTCAGGTGATTTCATTTTGACAAGTAAATAAAAAAAAATTGTCATAAAAGTTAATATTTTTGTTTAAATTACAAATTATATATTATAATTAGTTTATAAGATCACTGCTTATTACTGGTTATATAAATTTGACAACAAATGATTGTCTAAATATATTTAAAGTAATTTCTATCAATATGAAGTTTACCATAGAAGATAACATAAAAAAGTTTTACCCAACGGCTGAAGAATCTCGCGTTCATAACAAACTTAAATGTACAGAGGAGGGATGTAATAGTGTGTTCATGTCGGAATCTAATCTTAATTTGCATCTGGTAAAAACCCATAAGAGAACAAACCTAAAGAGTGATATGTTTCAGAAACAGTACTTTTGTCCAGAACTGGAATGTGCTTATCACACAAAAAAATATTTTAGACAGTTAAAAACACTTCGAACCCATTATATGATGAGACACTCACAGGAGCAGTTTATATGTTCTACATGCAGTAAAGTATTTCCACTTCAAAAAGTACTGTCTCGGCATGCTGAATATTGTGGGGCCAGCTTTATATGCCCTCACTGTCGCGCTGACTATGCTAAATATGAAACATTGCAGACTCATGGTAGAAGAAAGAAACATAATATACCTGAGAAAAGCTTCTATAAACTAAATAAAGCAAAAAGTGATACAGTGGTGCAAAATAGTGTAGTCCCTATTTTGCCTAAGAATTCTGTTAGTTTTATTGTACTAGTTGATCCAGTTACCAAATTTAATCGAGAAAGCCAAACATACACTGAACTACCTAAATTTGAAAGCAAAATGATACAAGTGTCTTCAAGGTTGGAAAGCCAAAATAACCAACATACACAAACAGGAAGCAAAAACCAATTGTTGACTGTGGAAACTCAGACTGTAGGAGGTTACAATAATAGGAAGAGTAGTGCCATTTGTGATCACTCTTCCACACAGAAGACTTCAAATACGCAAACAGATATTGTGGAGTCTAAAAATTCATCATGCAATACTTCATACAGCAAAGATGAATTTTTAATTAAAAACAGTGTGGATATGAACAGTTCCAGTACCCAAACAGGAGAGTGTCTTTCTTCTAATTACTCAGCTTCTACTCATACTCATGATTCAATTTATACAAATACATCTGACCTGCTTAAAGAAGACATGAATGTTAATATTGGTAGCTTTGAATTTGATAATTGTCATATGGAGACCCAAACTGACTTCATACTGGACGATGTAATGTTCAATGGTGACTATATGAGTAATATGTATACACAAACCTGTGATGACATTTTAAATGACCTAGGATTTAGTAATATTCAAACCCAAACCACTATTGACGATATACTAAAATCTGTGGAAAGTCAGACTGTTATGTCAAGAAGTACTGCTGCTGAAAGAGATATGACTCATATGGAAACTCAGACTGATATTATATTCAGAGAAATGTTGGAAGTTATCAACTCATGACTATAACTTCATTTTTTTTTTCAAGGCATTTAGGTTATTGTAGTGTTTTCACAATTGTCATGGAGTAATAAAATTGTAGAAATAGGAAGTTTCAGATGTGGGTACATATATTAATATTTACAAGGTACTTTACATGTTTTTCAGTTGTTTTTTGTAAATCTATGAAAGTGACTATTATACTTAGAGCATTAAAATTAAACTTAAATTAGGCAATTAAGTTAAAAAGAGTTTGTCATTTTAAGAACTCTTCAACAATTCTTTGACAATCAACTTGTCTTAAGATTTTCATGAAATTAATACAAAAAAAAATTAATAATCCATATGAACACCTCAAAAGTATTCTCATCAGAGTCTTAAAAGGTTTTAAAATAAGAATGAGCTAGTGTTAGGGGTCCGCTATTATTATAGTATTTCCTCAATACCAGTGAGCACAGGTAATAATAATAAATTCACAACATTTTTAGCTGCAGACTATTAAAATACATATTTTGTTTAAGTTGTCAATGCTGTAAATTTCCTTAAAATTGTGATTTTATTACTCCGTTAGATTGCGAAAAGATTATACAACAATCCAAATTTTATATGTATGAATAATATAAAATTTCAATAAAAATGTTTTAAAAAATCTTTTTGTTTTTTATATGTTGCCATGCAATGATTTATATCATTAAATAAATATAAGCTCAAGATATGGCTACTAAAGATTTAAAGCAGGAATTTTTCTCCTCTCATAACGTAATTTTAGGCAGTATGGAGAAAAAAGAGTTAAATTGTCAGAATAGAAATCAAATAAAACTGCTTGGATGTCTTGATTATATATACATTCAAAATGTTTATATTAAAATCGATAATTACGTGAAAAATTGAAATTTAAATGTAAGAAAACACATGAAAAGTGGTAAAGCATTAATTTTCCCAGGAAAAGTATGTGCGAAGGTCTCTACAAAGAAGCTCCAAATGCAACTTTAAAATTAGTTTTATAAGCAGGGTTTATAAATACAGACTCGTTCTTTTAGTGGATTCAACATTTTCAGCAAGCAGTGGGATCTAAGCAAGAAACACCGGTTTTGCTCTTTTTTTATAATCATATTTTACATAGTATCCTACAAGTCATTCAGCTTTGCCGAAAAAATCATCATCTTGCGATTATTCCCACACAAGTCACATCTTCAATTGTTTGATAAAGGGTTTTTTTCAGCCTTTTAAGTCGACTTATTTTGTGAATAATTAGTCGAATTTTGTGACAGCTGGCTCTTCAGTCATACTGGTAAAGTAATTAACCATACTGATGTGGATGTTTGGTTATTAAAAACTTATTATAAAGTTGCTAACATTAAAAAGACTAACGATTTTAATTCTACCGGAATTTTTTCGTTCAACCCACTAATATTTTCAGAAGAAGACTTCTATGGTAAGTGATAGACCATAGGACACCCAAAAGCAACCTGAACAAGAGATATTGATGATGGAAGCAGCCGAATCTGCCTCAAACAAAGAAAACGAGAAGGAGATAAAATCTGTTAATATACGGGAAGAAGTTTGTGGAAGTAAAAAAAAAATTCTCTGATGGTGAATTAGAAGTGTAGATTCTGAAATATTAATAATGAAAAAAAAATCAGTAGCTCAGTTAAAATTTGATCTTTTGAACACGTCAGATTTAACCAGTATGGATCAAGTTGAAATAATAGATATTCCTGATTCAACATTGATAATGATTAATAAAGATAGACCAGAAGGCAATCAAGCAAAATACGTTTCGGCAATATCAACTAACTTTTCTACTGATAACGTTGAGCTATCAACTTCCATTCGGTCTCCATCCGAAACTAGGCCACTACCAAAAATGGAAGCTCGAAAGAAGAGCTCAAAAATCAGAAATTTTAACCAGTACCTAACAATTTTAACATCATTTGAGATATTAGAGGCAGAATCTCAAAGAAAAAGTTCCAGCAAAAAGAAAGCTGGCAAAATCCAAATATATAAAAGCAAGTGAAAACGAAAATCAGAACACTAGTGAAAAGTTTCCTAAAAAGGTGAGAAGAAAGATTCAAAAACGGAATCTGCCAAAATAACTATTGAGGAGAAAGAAAATAAATCGAAATTGCTATTTAATTTTGCACTGGAACATGCGGTAAGGAAAGCTCAACTATAATAGACAAACGGATTTGCCGCCCAAGAGATCACCCATCACCCAATTGCCGCCCACAATTGCACAATCCACCAGAGATGCAAAAAAAGTTTCCACCCTATTCGAAAATGGAGCCAAGGAAGTTGGTCTGAAGGTCAACGAGGACAAGACCAAGTACATGGTGGTTACGAAGAACCCAAATCCAAGGGCTAGACAAAACGTAACAATCAATGAATACAACTTTGAAGTCGTCAAAGAATTCAAGTACCTGGGAACGATCATAACATCTGAAAATAAATATGAAAGGACGTGGCAGCTAGGATCATTGCAGGAAACAGTGCATATTACTCATTAATGACCGTACTTAAATCAAAAATACTCTCAATACCAGCAAAAATAAGATTGTATAAGAAAATAATTCGTCCCACAATAACGTATGGAAGCGAGACATGGACTCTGAACCAGCGGGGAACTACAAAATTACTGGTACTGACAAGAAAGATACTGCGGACTATCTATGGGCTTTGCAGAGAAGAGACAACAGGACAATGGGACAATGGTGAAGAAGACACAATGATGGACTCCAGAGAGCATATGGAGATGAAAACATAGTACGCTACATTAAAGCAAACCGAATAAGATGGGCGAGCCACGTGCTAAAATCGAGTGACGAAAGACTCATGAACGCCACATTCTGGGAAAGGCTCGATGGCAAAAGGTCAGTTGGTCGCCCAAAAAAGAGATGGAAGGACGCAGTAGCCAGTGATCTACGCAAAATGCCAACAGCTGCTCAGAACTGACAACTATGGAAGGAAATAGTAAACGCGGAAAAGACTCACATAGAATTGTAGAGCCAAATGATGATGATGTAGAATGGATGATAATTCTACATTTGATATATGTATTTATGTTTCTTTTATTAAAAACACTTCTTACTTTTGTATGACTGTCCAGTCT